CCGCGCGGTATGTCTGCAGCGGGGGCTCCGCTTGCCGTCCGCGTTGCCGAGGCCAGCCCAAGGAGCGGGTGACCCCCCTGCCTCTCCGGGGCTGAGGTGCACCAGTGGGTAGGACGTACCTGAAACTGGTTTGCAGCGAGTGCAAGGTGTCTGAAGGGAGAGTTGCTCTGTGCATCCCACTGCTCCTGTTTAGCTTGGGAGAGGTGAGGACGTGGCAGCTGGGAATTGGGGTTCTCATGGCTCAAGGACTTGCTGGCCCCGGACAGGAGCTGGTCTTCTCAAAGACAACGTCTTGTCAGCAAACTATAGCGTGGCAGCTTTGGAGGCCATTGACCGCAGGCCTGGGTCTGCTGGCCCAGTGTGGACGCACCCGCTCCAGCCGTAGTGACCTAGCTGTCTTGAGCCAGGCTGCACTGACCTGTCCTTTTCTCTCCTCACTGGCAGCTGATTTTGCTTTCCTCTGTAATGGGGCCAGTGAAGACAGCGAGAGAGGGGCTGAGCTCCGAGAAAGACCTAGGTATGAGTACGGACCGGGCTTGGAAGACCCCCACTATGGCCTTCCCAGCCCAGATATGGGCCCCTACTACAACTACCTGGAATCTGAGTATGGGAACCCTGATGCTGGTTTCCCTCGGAGGGAACCCAACAGCGAGTTTCGTGGCGGCCCTCTCCACCTCAGCCCAAGGCGATCCCCACCCCACTACCTGCCTAGCCAAACTGGTGAGTACTGGGAGACACAGAGTGGTGCCTTCCACCATCCCACAGGGCTGGCAGGGTTGTCCTGGAGGTTCAGCCGGCCGCTTTCTGTGGGCAGCTAGATCAGGGCACTTCAGGGCATCGCCGGGAGCAGCCAGTCACTCCCTTCCTCGCATAATGCTTTGGTATGTCATCGGCCACTGTTACTCTGTCCCTGCTTGCTTTCCTCTACACTCACCACTGCCATATGAAGTTCCTCACTTTCCACCCTGCCTTTCAAGACACAGTGTCTAAACCTTCTCTCTGCACATCTTCTACATCCCTACGCCGTGTCTCCATCCTTCTCACAGTGCAGGTCCCCAAGCCAGCTGAGGGCCCAGGCTCTCAACGGAGCACATGAAGACCCTCTTTTTCCTCAGGCACGGCACTTACTCCAGCTCCCAGTGTCCTTATTGCACAACAGAGTCATGCAGCTTCTTCATACAGAAATCACGGCCTCTGCCTCCCCAAATGCTGGTGGGCAGAACAGCTGTCTGACCTGTTACTCCTTCTTCTGCGTTTGTGCACTCTCTTTCCATCTTTCCTTCGCCGCACTGCTTTG